AATTTAGTTAATAAAGTTGGGCAACTGTAAGATGAACATTAAGGATGAAGAGCTGAACCACTCCCCCCACAATCCATGAGGAAGCAGCTAATGACCTACTATGCCACCTGGACACTAACAAGTCTATGGGACCAGACAGAATCCACCTGAGAGTACTGAGGGAGCTGGAAGAAGAGCTCAGCAAGCCTCCTCCATCATTTATCTGAAGTCCTGATCAACTGGGGAGGTTCCAGATGATTGGAGGCTTGCCAATGTGACACTCATCTACAAGGGTTGAAAGGAAGATCTGGGGAACTACAGGTGTGTCAGCCTGACCTCGGTACCAGGGAAAACCATGAAGAGGTTCATCCTGAATACACTCACGTGGCAAGCGCAGGACAGCCAGGGGATCAGGCCCAGCCAGCATGGGTTCAGGAAAGGCAGGCCCTGCTTGACCAACCTGATCTCCTTCTATGACCAGGTAACCCACCTAGAGGATGAGGGACAGACTGTGGTCTACTGAGACTTTGGCAAAGCCTTTGACACTGTCTCCTGCAGCATTGTCCTGGAGAAGTTGGTGAATTATGGCTCAGACCAGAGTACTCTCTGATGGGAAAAAAACTGGCTGGATGGCCAAGCCCAGAGAGTTGTGGTGAATGGAGTTAAAAGCAGTTGGTGGCCAGTCACAAGTGGTGTCCCCAGAGGCTCAGTTTTGGGGCCAGTCTTGCTCGATACCTTTTTCAATGATCCAGATTGAGTGCACCCTCAGTAAGTTTGCCAATGACATGAGATCGGGTGGGAGTGCTGATCTGCCTGAGGGTAAGAAGGTTCTGCAGAGGTATCTGGACAGGCTGGATTAATGGGCCAGGGCCAGCTGTATGAGGTTCGACAAGGCTCATTGTCAGGTCCTCCACATGGGCCACAACAACCCCATGCAAGGCTTGGGGAAGAGTGGCTGGAAAGCTGCGTTGTGGAAAAGGAATAGTATGGCCAGCAAGAGTAGGGAAGGGATCATTGCTCTGTACTTGGCACTGTTGAGGCTGCACCTCAACTCCTGTGTTCAGTTTTGGGCCTCTCATGACAAGAAGGACAGAGGTGCTGGAGTGAGTTCAGAGAAGAGCAACCAAGCTGGTGAACAAGTCCAGTGAGGAGAGACTGAGGGAGGTGGGATTGTTTAGTCTGGAGAAGAGAAGGCTGAAGGGAGATCTCAATTTTCTCTGTGCTTTTATGAATCTTCTTCCCTTCCCATTTGTCCCCTTTCAATTGAAAAAAAAAAAAAAAAAAAAGAGGCAGCTGCCTAGTTCAAAATTTTTCCTATTCTTTGGTTCTAAGACAGTTTCTTACTCATGAAATCTCCTCAAGACTGAAAATAATTGCATATCTCAACTATTTCACAAGCTGTTTGAGGGAACCTGTCTTTCTAAACAACAGATCCGAGGACAGTTTGCTAAAAATATTTTATTTTAGACATCACTATTTTTCAAATCTCTGATATTAGGAAAAGATTATATGGTAGCCTTGTTCAGTCCTAGCAGGACCTACTCCATACCACAAATACACCAGTTATTGCAACCATTTTCAAGTTGTTCTTCATTAGTGATTTGCCTTCTCTTTGAATCCCTAAGGAAATGCAATATTGTTAAGTTCATACCTAATATCCACTGTGCTCAATAAAGTATATGTAGTTCTAATGTTATATTGGGATGAAATTAATTAATACTGTAAGATTTTTTAAATTAATAACAAGGCACTAATTAAGCACCAATTAATGTAAAGAATGCAGTTTCTACTAAATAAAAAGTTGTGAAGCAGACCTGGAGGGGAAGAAGTGGGATTTCAAAGTAAAAGTTCAAAGGACTTCAAGGATTTCAAGGTTTAAAGAA